ATGTAAGTAGTAGCCTTATTAATGTTTACACTTGTGTTTACCCATTGTCAGCCTGTAATTAAAATGTTCCAAATGCTGTTGTGGTGTAACAGTTGGCACCCTGGCTTCCAAATCCATAAGTCGATCCCCAGACATGGTTAGTTGATACAATGGGCAAGTTCCTTACATCCATCCCTCTTCCCTTACTCGCCTTTACCATACTAAAGAGATGAATGAGTAGAACACAGATTGTCCATCGGCAGGTCACATGTGGTGGAGTAAAATGTGGGTTTTCCTCCTCTTTCAAAATCTCTGGACAGTGGGGAAGAGCTCCCTCTAGAAAAAAATAGGAATATGGGTTGTGAATAATAGTTATTTTTGTGCATTTTAGATATTTTTAAGAAAGCATTGTGGATTAAAGGCTTTCTACTGCATCACAGTTGTATTTATGGGGCAGTGTTGGTGCAGTAATATTTGCACTGCGTTAAAAAAAACCTCAGTTCAATTCCTAGCTGTGGCTAAGCATTGGTGCTGAGTCATATCGGAACCGGTCGAGGACCCCTCCTTCTCCCTTCGCCAACTCGAGCTGATGGGCGCGATGATGTGCTGTCAAAACCCATGTAACTGATACGGAATGGAGAGGTCGTCGTCCAGGAGATGACAGCTTTTTGTACAAAAGGGCTGTGAAATAAATACAGGTTTTCCTCGCTTAATGCATGTGCAGTTTGCGTGATTTCGCGTATGTGTAGCTAACCTATTGCTACCCAAAATTCTATATATGGGGTTTTAATTCACTCATGCGGCTATGCAGTCAGACGTGATACAACAGTGTGTGTGTACTGTATGCTCTAGTTGGCAGGGAGCTGTGTTGTGCGTTTTGCTTTGTGTACCCATTTGTTTCCCTTGCATAACACGAGGGAAACGTGTATCTGTGCAGGCACATGCCAGGATTTGAGTGGCAATTTTCAAGAGAGACTTTGTTTCTGTTCACTGCACGCAATGTCCCACCTTTGCTTAATGCGTGTCACCGCAGATGACACATACCAAACAAACGGTGCTTACTGCCTAAGGGGGGACCCGTATAAAGAGGCATTGTTTTGTTCAAGTGCTCTTCCGTGCATTGGTGGCTGCATATGTGACTCAGGGGTCAGAGCACTGAGCCTGCACCACTGAGATCATGGGTATGAAGCCAGGCCAGACACCTGTGATTAAACTTGGTTCCCAAGTGTAGTCAGATGATGTACTTGCTGAACTTATTTGTATTTGGCTAAATTCCATCGTTGAGTTGCAACATTTTTAGCTGGATTGGCATGTGACAAACAGAAACAGTCGTTAAAGGTCATTAAAAGGTGTGTCCCTTTTGTGGATTTTGAGGTGAGCTCGGAGGTAGTGCTGTTTGTTGTCTTATGAAGAAGTCTGACAGTGATTCACTGTTTGTTGTAGCAATTGCTTTGTTTCAGCAATCCGAATTGAAATGTGTCAATCTCATGACATAATGCCACCACCACGATTGGAATGACACGTTAATAAGTCATTTCCAAAATATGGGTGAGGGGGGGGGGGCAAACTCTCTTGCTGTAATTACAGGCTTGCTTTTGTTCGAGTTCTATTGAGAGACTTACCCAGGCACGGCCACAGTACACACTGGGAAGCTGCGTTTTAAGAACTGACACTTCCCCTTTAGTCCACTGCTACAATGTGATTCACGGCAGTTAGTAAATGTCCACAGCGGTCTTGCTTTTAGTCACGGTAGGATGCCACTAGTTGTGAAAGGTAATGCTGTACTGTGGTGTTTGCGGGGGCATGGGTGATAGATTAAAAAAACTGCTTTTGTTTGTGAATGGGAGTACGAGTGTCAATTTATGTTTGGTACCAACGGCAACGACGTGTGAGGGCTACAGACAACACAAGTGGCGGTGAACGGTGTCCGAGTTCTGCGTTCACCAACCCGTGTTGACCAGCACGGTGAAGTATATGGTCAAACAGCCCGCATGATATTCCTGGTTCTTTCGGTAAAGTCACGTATATGAATCCCTGCAGTCACGAAAGCTTTAGATCGAAACCCGCATGATCAACATGAGGAAAAGCCTTTAATCTGTCAATTGATATATTTGGAGCTCTACATTGTGATGAATGTTATTTATTTATTATTGCGGCACTATGCTTGCTGTAGATTATTGTAAAAAGACACAAGACGCTTATTGCTTGTAGAAAATAGAACTCGACAAACTCAAAAAATGTCACTCAGCCATGCAAGTTGTATTTCAATAATGCACGAGGAGACATTGGCAGCACCATCCTTCACAATGACATCGATCAGACTAAAACAGACGCAAATATAGGTTTGAATCGCTTGCTGAATTATCGTTAATGAAATTAAATGCAAAAAAACATTGTATAATTATTATTATTGTATTTCAGTAGCTACATTATTGGCAAATAATGTAAATTGTACGTTAGTAAAATCTTTCAGTGCAATATATGCTATGCCTTGTAATTATTTTTGAGTATGATAACACTGTCACAATTTTTTCTATTTTTTGTTCCTGGGTAGTAAGTGTTATTTCCTAATTGCTTATGCCTCAAAAGTAGAGAAAATGGCTATTATTCCCCACAATCTTTGCTTTTGTGGCCAGGACAGTGATATTTGGAAATATACCTATTTTCCAGAACATTCCAGATCGATTCAGTGCTGAGTAAACTTGGAGTAACTTCTATAACATTCTAGAACTTTCCAGTAATATAAATAGTAGTATAAATACAGGGGCCATAAGCCCACCAGTTCAGTTTAGTTCCAGCTGCCAAAGTGGATACATATCTGCATTTTTCTGAGATGGCATCAAGAGGCTGCAAGCATCCGGCAGACGCATTTTGCTATATCTGCGGCCAATTTATCAAGACAGGAGCGAAAAAGTACTTTGTGGAAGCATCTGCTAAGATGTGTGAGGCCTACAAGGCATATTTCGGCTTGCCTGTTGGGGATCAAGACAAACCCTGGGCACCTCATTTCACCTGTGAGCAATGCTAAAAAATTCTGGAAGGTAAGATGGACAATTGTTGCTCGGTTGTTTATCTTATAATTATTTTTTTATAATTTTTTTAAAGTTTTGAATTGCAAAATGTTTTACAATTTTCAATGTTATTGAAAAAATATATCATATATGAAAAATGTTGCGAGAATCTCTTACACATTATTCATGGGTGAAATTAATTTATTGTTGTAGGATGGTACAGAGGGGAAAAGTGAACCATGAAGTTCGCTATCCCAAGAATTTGGCGGGAACTCACTGACCACTCAAGCACCTGCTACTTCTGCATGGTGGACCCTTCCAAACGTCGGACTGGCAAGAATGTATCTGCTATCACGTATCCGGACCTTCCTTCATCCATCGCCCTAGTGTCATACTGCCATGAGCTCCCCCTTACCCACTCTTGCGGAGAGAGAGCAGCCGTCTTTAGAAGAGAGCAGCAAGTCGGAGAACGAGGAAGACGTTGTAGATCCAGATGACAATTTCAGAGGTGGAATTGAGGGAAACCCATACTACCCCAACCAAAAAGACCTCATCGACTTGATTAGAGATCTTGGTCTCACCAAGTCGAATGCTGAGCTTTTGACATCTAGGCTCAAGCAGTGGAACTTGTTGGATAAAAGTGTGCAAGTCGCAGATCGGAAGAAGCGTCACCAACCTTTTTGCAGCTTCTTCACTCGCCGAGATGGGATCTGCTTCTGCCACAATGTGACCAGTCTGTTCGAGGCAATCGGAATCGCCTGTAACCAGAATGAGTGGCGCCTCTTCATTGACAGCTCATCCAGGAGCCTCAAAGCCATGCTGCTCCATAATGGTAATAAGTACCCGTCTCTTCCCCTGGCTCACTCGGTGCACCTCAGAGGATTACAACAGCATCATGACCTTGCTGGATGCCTTGTAGTATGATGAGTACAGCTGGGAGGTCATCGGAGACTTCAAAATGGTGGCATTCCTGATGGGTCTCCAAGGTGGTTTTACCAAGTTTCCCTGCTATCTTTGCCTTTGGGACGGCAGTGACACCAAGGCGCACTACCACAAGCGGGACTGGCCACAGCAGACCGAGTTCTCTGTGGGGAGGAACAACGTCAAGTGGGAGCCACTGGTGGACCCCCGGAAGGTGTTGATGCCATCACTGCACATCAAATTGGGCCTTATGAAACACTTTGTCAGAGCTGTTGATAAGGAGTCGGCAGCTTTCAAGTACCTTCAAGACTTCTTCCCTAAGCTGTCTGAGGCAAAGGTCAAAGCCGGTGTCTTCGTCGGACCACAGATAAAGAAGATCCTGGAGTGCAATGAATTCCCCAAGAAGCTCACTAGTAAGGAGAAAGCGGCTTGGAACAGCTTTGTCGCTGTGGTTCGTGGCTTCCTGGGCAAGGTCGAAAACTATGTGGAGCTGGTTGAGACTGGTGAAGAACTACGGCACAATGGGCAGTAGGATGTCCCTCAAAGTCCATATCCTTGATGCTCATCTTGATAAATTCAAGGAGAACATGGGAGCGTACTCGGAGGAGCAAGGCGAGCGCTTCCACCAGGATATACTGGACTTTGAACGCCGCTACCAAGGACAGTATAACGAAAACATGATGGGAGACTACATTTAGGGGCTGATTCGTGAAAGTGATTTGCAGTATAATCATAAATCTCGAAAAACTGCTCACTTATAAATATTTCGTAGTCATTTGTATATTACTTTAGTATAAATACATGTTAATTTTGATTCATATGTTTTTTTCTGACTTTATGTGAACGAAACGACACAAATTCGCCCGTATTCTCATTGAAAATAAGTAAATTTCAAAATATCATTGTCCTGGTCACAAAAGCAAAGTTTGTTGGGAATAATAGCCATTTTCTATACTTTATAGGCATGAGCAATTACAAAATAACACTTACTACTCAGGAACAAAAATTGTGTTACACAGTGTAATGTGCCAAATGTTTTGAGGTTACAAAGGTATATAGACGATACAAGTGCTTTCAACTTCACAAATACATATGTAAAATCATTCATTTTCTGAAAACAAAATCACAGGACATGATATATACTTACATGGTATGGAGGTGATTAGGGTTTTTTTTCATTTGTTAAGCCTAAGTATTAAATGTATCACTTCCAAGAAACACATTCTTTATTCCATACGCACTCCAGTATATTATTTAGGCAGCAAATACACTTTCATATCTATAACTAGCCATCGTCAATGCCTTATTTTTTTCCAGCGTGTATAATCAAAGCATAAAGTAATGAAATATAATGCATATACTTTTTTCTGTTTTTTGTTAGATTTTTCACATCAGAACGCGTTTCGTCAGTGTCGTGATTTTTCAGCAGCAGAAGTTGTGGGACGCATTTACTGACTGAACTTTGTCAGGGGGGAAAAAACCATTAGGGCTTTGTAAGGAACATTTACCCAGTAGTACCCCAGAGGGGTGCAAAATCAACAAACTCCTGAAGTTGGGATTAGATCCAGAGTCAGTTCTCAACCCCCCTTACCTTTAAATGCTAAATGCAACTTGCATTCTAGAGTACATGTACTGTATTACCAGCGTGTCTGTGTATACGTAATTTTGTATAGTTGTCGAAAATCATTTATGGAATTGTTAAAACGTAGCAAACATTTGTATCCATGAACCAAGTATTTGTAAAGTAAAATGACAAAACAGGTTTCTGGCAAAATATTTACTCTTACTATTTTAAATTAACATACAATATTACATCAATAAATCTGCTGGCAGTAGCCCTCACCATTCCGTTGACCGGGCTAAAGAACTTCGGCTCTATTCCTCTCCAACGCGTGTCCGCTCCACCGCCTCCACGGACAGCAGTGCAGCGCGCTCAGCGTATTGTCTAATTTTGAGCTGAAATTAATTCGAAGGCAGCGATATATGATTGGCGTGACACAGCTGGATGAGTAGGCCATGAGCAGGGCCAGCCCTCTGAGCGTCCTGTGCAGGCCGGGCCGCGTCGACAGCCACTCCGCCGCCTCTTTATCGTCGTGCGCGGTGATGAGGTAGAAGAGCAACAGCACATAGTAGAGTGTCCAGAGCGAGAAGTGAGCCACCACGGTTAGACGCACGAGGCGGAACGTCGCTGCCTCGGCCGCCTCCTCCTCGTCCTCCTCCAGTGAGCGGTTGTGCGGGCCAGGCGGCCGCTCGGGACGCAGGGGACGGCGGTGGATGCGGCACGCGAGCATGAAGCTCACGGCCACTCCGAGCAGCGGCACGAGGAAGCCGGCGAAAAAGTCAACGGCGTCCACCAGCCGGCGAATCTGCAGCCGCTGGCAGTCGAGCATCTGGTCACTGTTGTTGGCGTTGTCGTAGGCACTGCCGCCGCCACCGTCCTCTGAGTTGGTGGGTTCAGCTCGGCAGGCGAAGAGCAGGAAGGCCGGAAAGACGGCGAGCAGTGCGCCACCCCACACGAAGCTGCAGAGGTGGCGCGCGTTGTGTGCGCTCACCATGGGGTTCCGGGGTAGCGCTGCCGCAAGGCTCGCGTCCAAGCTGAGCAGTGCCAGGGAGTAGGCGCCGGCCAGCGCGCTTATGCTGAAGATCACGAAGAGGGTCAGGCAGGTGGGCAGCTGTGTTTGGACTGACGGAAGCTCCGAGCCTTCGCCCAAGCCCTGTCGGTGCCAGAGCAGCTCCGTGCCAAGCATCTGCCCAACGGCGACCAGCAGCTGCAGCAGGTTGGCCAGTGCCAGGCTCACGAAGTAAATGTCGAGCGCTGCCATGGAGGCGCGGTGGTGGAGGTTCACGAAGACCAGGCTGAGGTTGTAGAAGAGGCCCAGGGGAAGGAATGCCACGAGAAAGGTGATGGTGAACACCGGAAGGGAGTAGTTGTAGGCCTGGCACAGGCCCTCCGGGGTGGCGTGGGACTGTTGGGGCTGCAGCTGCAGGCCGAACTCAGAGCCTGAGCATGCGTTGAGGGGCTGGAAGACAGGCTCCCGGGAGCAGCTCCACATGGCGCTTCGCACCGGCCTGCTCGGCTTGACATTCCACGCCGCGAGGTCAGGGGTGGCTCGGAGCGTGCGTGCAGGATTACCGCCGAGCCCAAGCGGCTCTCACATGTTGCTCGTTTGAGACTCTCGCCCTGTTGAAGAAACACACCGGAGTGGCGTTATTTGTGTAATGTGGTTCTTTGTTCCACCACAGAGGTGAAAATAAAGAGGTCAGAAATCTGGAACTTATCAGAGGTTATTTTTAGGCATTCAAAAAATAAAATATCTACTGCTTAATAAGGGGCACTGGCTGCTGTGGAGTCAAATTATTAAAAACCTGTGAACAGTGACCAAAGTCCTATAACTGGCATGCAACACTTGATTGTGGTTTTGTTAAAATGCCATGTAAAAGCCACTTAGAACATAGTAATGGGTTGAACATTGGTAAAATTCAAAGACTACAGATTGTTTTGAATATTTAAATCGCATGCAAACAAAAAAACATTGCTTCCTACACATGCAACTTCAATAGGAATCGATACATTGATACATTCTTTGACCCCTAATCATGCTAGTAAAACGGCACTGTATTACCCCTTTCCAAGTGGGTTATAACTTTGAGAGGTGGAGGTGTTAAATGTCAGCATTAGCAATGCACAGGGAAATATTGATTCTATACTGGAATAGATTAATATAATATCTTGACTTAAAGCTTCCGTGACTGCAGGAATTAATATTCTTTGGGTCTTTCGGTAAAGAGAAAATAAGAAAAATAATAATATCACGACGTTTTGATCGCAACACAAGCAATCGTCATTAGGTGATCGTCATCAGGTGATGACGATTGCTTGTGTTGTGATCAAAACGTTGTAATATTGTTATTATTTCTTCTATTTATGTGGCTTTACCGAAAGACCCAAAGAATAAGATTAATATTACATAAACTGTGATATATGTCCAGCCAGAAGTATAAATGGGTATACCATAGCTTGTCAATTGGTGGGTAGAGTATGGGTACTCCCATCTATTCAAAGATTTCAGGCCAGGTTGGAAGTGTAGTCCATCATACCCACGAGTGGCTCTCTATAACTAGATAGTGGAAGTAATTCTTTCAACACGAGTGTTAGCGACCGATTGCAAAGCTCTGCCTTTAACTACTTCTCCAAAGTAGAATGATCTTATGGCTTTGTCATGCAACCTTCCTAATATTAGGCGCCTGCTCCCAAGCTCCATACTGTCACTTCATGCTGAGCTGTCAGAGCTTGAAACATGGCAGTTACCAGCCAGGTAAGAGCAGCGCTCGTAAAACAATTACGAAAATAAATCAGAAAAATTGTGTCGACTGAAGTTCAGAACACACATTCACGTTGGACTCTGGAGCGATGTTCCAATGTGCGTTGAGTGTGACAACAAGGACCGTGGCATCGGTCCCATCCGATTCGAGAGATGTTTGTTCGTATTCCTTTTGTTAGCCATCAAAGTACATGAAAACAATGCCTGGTTTATGATTAAAAACATGTACAGGATGGTAATGTAAAATTGCAGTGGTGATGTATTAAAGAGAGAGTTGTGCCAATGAGTTATATTTTATTTTAAGCCCTTCTGGTTAGTTTTTATTCCAGAAATCCTTTGTATTACCTATGCATGCATACATACTGTGGACAGTACATGTGTGCGTGTACTGGCAAAAGGTATTTCTCCCAGCTAGCACAAGTCCACTGTCATGTGAACCATATCCATTAGTTAATGAATCATAAATGTCAGTGCGGTGTAATGTTGAAATGTTTTCATGTTAAGCACCTAAGCGCTTTGTATTCATTGATGTAGTCTGTCAACGCCACGACTTTCCATATATGGGTCTTTATTCTCTGGACGTCGGGGTTCAGTCAACCTACAGTTTTTCATTGTCTTCTAAATCCTCTGAAGATCACTCGGGTTCCATTCAAAGCATGTTTCTAAATATGTAATAATTACTGTAGTAATATGCACAGATGCATACAGGCGTATATTTTGAAACGTTTACATCAAAGAGTCAAGACAAAGCATTCTTCATGCTGAAACAGCAGTCCTCAGTTGATGCTAGAAATTCTACATTACTATGACAGGGCTATTCTTTCCATTAGAAAACTGCTGTTTAACTTTCACAGAATGGTACTTATTTTAAATGATGGGCTGAGTTGACTCCTGACCGAGATTTGACATTGCACTCTTTCCTATTGAGTTAAGTGTTCTTACCCAGTAACCACAGTGCAGAGTCCCTGAATGTTACCAACGTGTAATGCTCCACGATTTATAATTGAGCGAGAGCTCGCAATTGATGCATTCTATTTCATGCGTTGCGTTTGATGCATTGTAATAGAGTGCATTTATAATTGCAATTTTCCGCCATTAATAAGTCCGATACAGAAGGCGTCGCCACGCGGTGTCTATCAGTCACGGGGGTTGTTTGACCAAATTTCACCACACTGATCCGTGTGGGTTTGGCGAAGCGGTGGGCCCAGGACCAACTCGGACATCACCTTTCAATTTAATCGAACCGAAAGCCGCTGGGTTCTTATCGCAGTGCAGTGATTGCGCTATCCGCCGTGCCACCATTCCGCTCCAGACAATACAATACAGTACAATACTGTAGATAATTTGCACTATAGATTACAGATAAAACAAACGTATTTCAACAGAACACTTCAGGCTAGACCCAAAAGTTAGCACTATCGTTTTATTTTTTTCTCATGGAGACTTGACTGTTGACTAAACTTTCCAATTGTGAAAGCACCCAGAATCCATCCACGGGGAAAGTAAAGTCTGCTAGCTCTTAAAGGCACATTTTTGCCAATCTCAAAACCCGGGGTGGTTAATAAATACCTAAAGTATTGATTGCCGCATTGATTTTAAGCTGAAATTATCTACAATGTTTAAAATAAAGGTGTGGATGCAATCAACTTGTAAATAAAACCTTAATTTTTTTAAGTCGCTAAAAACGTGTACAATGTTCACTTTAAAGTCTCTCCAACAAAACGAATAGTGGTAAACGCGTATTTCAAGTTTCTGAAACTTGTCCGTGGCCATCTGCTGACAAACATGACCTTGGTTTAGAAGGAATTAGTGGATGAAGCTTTACACGTTGGTAACATTCCATGTTATTGATGTTTCACTGCCTGATAAGTGTGCCGCATTCAAGGGAGGAAATGTTATTCCTTTTGGTACTGAATGTTCTTTGTTGTTCATAATACCAACACTTTTTGTACTGTTTGCCATACAGTATAATACCGACTTTGAACTCGAAGGGATTCATTATTAGCGTTTTCTTTTGTGTTTCAATGAGGCCAGTGAATTTTGTATGGCGTTCTTAACCCAAGTCGTCATAGATATACATGTAGATATACACAAGAAGTGTTACATGAGAACATGTGCGTGCATAAGTCTTAGTGCACCCTTTGATGAGAGAATCATTTCGAGGTGCGGCAAACGAAAGACAAGCGAGGAGGCAGGCAGTACCGGTGCCAACACTTTCTCAAGCTCTGATCCTATATTTGGATGTTCGATTAAAACATGTGACTTAGGATCCAAGTGACTTTTCTTGCAGATCTGCATTTTGTTACCGTTTGTTACAGTTAAGTTGTAAAATAACATTAAAGGTTTAATGTACTGTACTCCTTAATTCAAGAAATTCTGTACGTCTGTGGTGGAATACTTAATTGCAAGAGCAAATGAAGCTGAATTAATTTAGAGATTAACAACCTTCAACATATTAGCAGAGCACTGTCAGAAAACAAACAACCTAATGAACTAAACATGTTAAAGGCCTTGACTAAACTAAAAACTCATTTGTTTTCATTTCACTCGGCAGGGCCCACTGAGCCCTATAGCTCTTTTTCAGAAGCGATTTTACCACAAATGATAGCTCAACGAAGTGGTTTGTCACGTGGACATTTATAGCAGCCAAATATTCTAACGCATGTATATACAGTGAGGGAAAAAAGTATTTGATCCTATGCTGATTTTGTACGTTTGCCCACTGACAAAGAAATGATCAGTCTATAATTTTAATGGTAGGTTTATTTGAACAGTGAGAGACAGAATAACAACAAAAAAATCCAGAAAAACGCATGTCAGAAATGTTATAAATTGATTTGCATTTTAATGAGGGAAATAAGTATTTGACCCCTCTGCAAAACATGACTTAGTACTTGGTGGCAAAACCCTTGTTGGCAATCACAGAGGTCAGACTTTTCTTGTAGTTGGCCACCAGGTTTGCACACATCTCAGGAGGGATTTTGTCCCACTCCTCTTTGCAGATCTTCTCCAAGTCATTAAGGTTTCGAGGCTGACGTTTGGCAACTCGAACCTTCAGCTCCCTCCACAGATTTTCTATGGGATTAAGGTCTGGAGACTGGCTAGGCCACTTCAGGACCTTAATGTGGTTCTTCTTGAGCCACTCCTTTGTTGCTTTGGCCGTGTGTTTTGGGTCATTGTCATGCTGGAATACCCATCCACGACCCATTTTCAATGCCCTGGCTGAGGGAAGGAGGTTCTCACCCAAGATTTGACGGTACATGGCCCCGTCCATCATCCCTTTGATGCGGTGAAGTTGTCCTGTTCCCTTAGCAGAAAAACACCCCTAAAGCATGATGTTTCCACCTTCATATTTGACGGTGGGGATGGTGTTCTTGGGGTCATAGGCAGCATTCCTCCTCCAAACACGGCGAGTTGAGTTGATGCCAAAGAGCTCCATTTTGGTCTCATCTGACCACAACACTTTCACCCAGTTGTCCTCTGAATCATTCAGATGTTCATTGGCAAACTTCAGACGGGCATGTATATGTGCTTTCTTGAGCAGGGGGACCTTGCGGGCGCTGCAGGATTTCAGTCCTCCACGGCGTAGTGTGTTACCAATTGTTTTCTTGGTGACTATGGTCCCAGCTGCCTTGAGATCATTGACAAGATCCTCCCGTGTAGTTCTGGGCTGATTCCTCACCGTTCTCATGATCATTGCAACTCCACGAGGTGAGATCTTGCATGGAGCCCCAGGCCGAGGGAGATTGACAGTTCTTTTGTGTTTCTTCCATTTGCGAATAATCGCACCAACTGTTGTAAACTTCTCACCAAGCTGCTTGGCAATGGTCTTGTAGCCCATTCCAGCCTTGTGTAGGTC